AGTATGTGCTCTCTCTCTTTCTCATGCACACACACAGCAACACAGACGAAGATGGAGTCCTGTGTGCGCATGCCCCCCGACATAAACACGCCCATATGCCTGGCTGCCCCTCGTATAGACTGATCCGCCTCTCAGACACAAAGCCACAAGGGATGGCCTAGATTCCAACACATGCACACACAGGCAGGCTGCAGGGAAAGAGATCACACACACATGCACATGCGAATGTCAACTATATAGACCGTGTATGTACACAGAGGAGCGGCTTCCATCTGCATGTTCAGCCGCTAAGAACTGGCGGAGCAGCTGACGATTTATGTACACTTTTAAAATTCACATGGTTGATGTTCATTAACATCGGAGGCTTTGAACTCAGAGAGAGAGGGAGAGAGAAGAAAGGCAATCAATCAGGGAACAGTCAGATGGGAGCTGAATGAAATCATACTCTTTTAAATTGGATTTTTGCTTTTATTAAAGTTTTCTTCAAGGTGTAACCGGTCTCAGTCAAAGCCCATATTTAATAATTGAAGACTTTAACATATTTTTCACGTGGCCTTCAACAGATAATCTTACAAGATTAGCATAACAATCAAGTCTCAAGTTGTCTTTATTGTCATCTCAGAGAACACAGTGGGACCAAAGTGTCTTCAGGACTGTGGACTGACACACACACACACGGACAACATGTAGTGCAAACAACATACAGTGCAACAAGGCAAGACAGTCTGCAGTAACTTTACACTCTAATTGAGCAATTCAACAGCACATCAGTAGCAGTTACTTTATGTAAATGAATGCAGCAGTCAAGTTAACACTAGAACCAGAGACCCCCGAGACAACATTCCTGTCATGAGAGTAGTGGAAGGAAAAAACTAACAAGAGAATGGATTGTTTCACCCAAATCCGCATTTCTCTTTTCCCTTGAGTGGTGATCTAGCCACAGAGGTCATTGCAGTTTATTAGCCCGGGGTTACCTGATGTCCGCCACAACAATACAGTTGGGTCAAAACGGGTTTGTTTGTAAGTGAGAAGATAATAGGTTTGGTTTTGGGTTGTGTGAGGTGACCCTTTAACAAGCTGCAACTTTTCAGTAGTTTGCACATGAACAGGTTATGTATAGCAAGCTGTGACATAGAAGGAGGTGATGACTATGATGTAGTTTAATGCAACACAAAGCAGCGTTCTGTGTAAGAGTGAAATGTATGGCAGGACAGAGTACAGCATAGAAAATTATTATTACAGTATAGGTTAGTATTGAGGGGTATAGAACTATAGAACTATATATCAGTATCATGCAGAGCATAGCATAGCATAGCATAGCATAACATAGTGTACTATACTATAGTATAGTATAGTATAGCATAACATAGCATGGTATGGTAAAGTATAGCATAGTATGGTGTAGCATAGCAATATAATACACTATACCATACAATGCCATACTATACTGTAAAGTGCGGTGTAGCATAGCTATGTTACGCAATTTAACAACACAATGTATACAATAATATAGCACAGATTGTAGTATTGTATGTGAGTTTGAAGTAATTAGGTAGTATTGTATAATATACTACTCTGTAGCATATATTACATTTCAGGGTGGGGTGAGGGCAAAGGGTCGTGTGAACAGAATAGCAGAGACAAAAACAGACAATGCATAAGGGAACAATAAACACTGGGGAGGTTGGTGAGGCCTGTGATGTGTAGCTGCAGAGACAAAACTCAGAAGACACAAAGCTGGTGACACACAATGTTTATAGTCACTCTTGACGAGGTCTGTCCGTCCGTGTGTCCGTCTGTGAACAGTCTCTAGCTCGAATGCTAACTTCTAACCAGTTGATATTTTACAGGTGAGCTAGGAATGGCCTCACCTCGGACTTACTACATTTTGGGGTCAATCAGTGCAAAAACAGCTCTGCTGGAGGTCAAAGGTCATTTAAAACAAATGCTGTATACCTTCAAAAGGGCACAAGGTAGATTTATGGTAATTGGTGCATGTAAGCAACCATGTTGGGGCTTTCCAGTGGTGATGTTTCATTTGACCTTGGGTGATATTTCAAGGTCAAACCCAATGTCTTACATTTTGACTGCACTGTAATTTGAAAACAATGCAAGATATATGCATGTTTGTATCAGAAACCATGTATAGACTTCCCACTGGGCCTGCGACATTTGATCTTGGGTGATATTTCAAGGTCAATCTCAAGGTCAAGAATTGTTGATATTGCCATTATATGCTAGATAACATGTGATACATGGATAGTACCCATTTCACCTTGGACAACTAGCCAATCGTGATTAGTGAAAGGAAATTATTTTGTGGTAAGATGGAAGGAATCATGTTTTCAGTGCTGGGGCTCAGTGCAATCATGGCCGACAGGGGCAACTATATCCCTCTACTTAGGGCCCTCTGGCTGGGTTCAAATGTATTGAGAGTGAAAGGGAGGAGAGATGCATCATGGGAAGTCCCCCAGCAGTCAGGGTGTATAGCAGAATAACTAAGGGATAGTTTTAAGCCTGAGCTTAAAAGAAGAGAGAGAGCCGATTGCACAATAGAGGAGCTGGAAAGATGAAAGCTCTGCCTCCCATTCTGCTTTTGGAAACTCTAGGAACCACAAGTAAGACGTCAGTCTGAGTGAAATACTCTTTTGGAACAATAAGGTCTTAATTGAGCTTGGTCATTTAGGGATTTTAATTTCTATTCTGGATTTTACAGGGAGCCAATAAAGAGAAGGTAACACAAGATCTCACTTTCTGGGTTCTATCAGACCTCTGGCTGCAGCACTTTCAATCAACTTTTTAAGAGAATTATTGGGACACATTCCTAACTTTGACAATATTGTGCAGGTGAATAAAGGTTGTCCTAGAAAACTGTTCCATGTGAGAGTTGAAGGACACAACCTGGTTGAAAATAACTCCAAGGTTCTTTACAGTGGAGCCGGGTGCCGAGGCAATGCAATGAGATGTAAACAAACTGATGCAACCTTAACCACAAACTTCATTTACGATTTAACCCCCACCCTCTATCTGCAGCCCCATCGAATCAGAGAAACAAACAAACAAACAAAATATTTGTAGGTATTTTATTACTCATAGCTTTAAACTAATTCAAACTAGAAAATCACATTCTGGTCTTACATAATAGCATTTTTTTAATGTGACAACAGCACAAAAAGCTTTCTTTAAAACAGCCCAGTTCTTTTACAAACCAACAATAAACATGATTCAAGTTTCCTTTAAAAAATAAA